GGTACCCTGCTGGTTGTTGTGAGAACTGCCATCTGTAACAGAGTATCAGATCAATGACTCAGCCTTTGAAGAGTATTTGAGTGTTTGAAAGACAGATCAGGTTAACTGATTATTTTAGTGAATGTTTGTCCGCCACGTCCTCCAATGTTTCCGTTCCCTTGGCAGGTACTGTAACCAGGTGCTGAGCAAGGAGATCGACGAGAGCGTGACTCTCCTCCTGCAGGAACTGGTTCGCTTCCAGGAGCGGGTCTACCAGAAGGATCCGACCAAGGCAAAGTCCAAACGCCGCCTGGTCATGGGTCTCCGAGAGGTCACCAAGCACATGAAGCTGCACAAGATTAAGTGCGTGATCATCTCTCCCAACTGTGAGAAAATCCAGGCCAAAGGTGAACATGAATGTCATCCACTCCACTATCAGTAAATGTTCTGTAAACAAAGCTGTGACCAGCTGTCACCTGAATATGTTTCAGCCCGAACCCTAACCTTTGAGTGAACCATGTGTAGCCAATTAATTATTGAGTGTTTTCGCAGGTGGTTTGGACGAAGCTTTGTACAATGTCATTGCCATGGCCAGAGAGCAGGAGATCCCCTTCGTGTTTGCCCTGGGCAGGAAGGCTCTCGGACGGTGTGTCAACAAACTGGTGCCTGTCAGTGTGGTCGGCATTTTCAACTATTCTGGAGCCGAGGTAGACTGCATCCATCCATCCATCCATCCATCCATCCATCCATCCATCCATCCATCCATTATCTATTTGCCCATTAATCCATCGATTCTCATTTTTGTTCTTTTGTGCCAGATGTTTTGGTTCAACTTGATAATTAATTTTTTTTTTTAACCTTTTAGAATCTCTTCAACCGTCTGGTGTCTCTGACAGAAGAGGCCAGAAAAGCCTACAAAGACATGGTGTCAGCTCTGGAGCAGGAGCAGGCTGAGGAGGCGCTGAAAAACGACAAGAAAGTTCCACACCACATGGGACACTCCCGTAACCACTCTGCTGCCTCTGCCATCTCCTTCTGTTCTATCTTTTCTGAACCCATCTCTGAAGTCAATGAAAAGGAGTATGGTGAGTTCCCTCTCAGTCTCGGTCGTGGTTTGTGTTTCATGTAGTACGTGTTGATGAAGCTCTCGTTGTTGTAATTCCTCCAGAGACCAACTGGAGAAATATGGTGGAAAGCTCTGATTCTCTGGAGCCCACAGAGATAGAGCGGAGTCGCCCTCCACCTCCCGCAGCTGCCCAGAAGGACATGGAGGCTCCGCCCACTGCCGTTCAGTCCAGCTCCGGCTCCAGCTCCAGGTCAGGACCACAGACCCAGACCAGCGGTGAGAAAGAGGAGGTGCGAGCTGACGACAAGCTGGAGCTGGCCTCGCAGCAGAGCACAGAAACAGGCTCGCTGGACGGAAGCTGCAGGGGTCCGCTCAACAGCTCCATCACCTCCACCACCTCCACCCTCGTTCCCGGCATGTTGGAAGAGGCGGAGGAGGAGGACGAGGAGGAAGAGGACTACACTCCGGAACCTATATCTGTAGAGGTGCCCACCCTCAGCAGCCGCATTGAATCCTGGGTTTCCAAGACTCTAGAAAACCTACAACTAGGAAAGAGCCAGGAGAGTACAGAGGACGAAGAGGAGGAGGAGGAGGAAGAGGAAGAGGAGGAGGATGAAGAGGAGAGAACACAGAGTGAGGAAGAGGAGGACCTGGATTCAGCTGACATCACAGAGGCGGGGGTGGAGAGCAGAGAACAAGCCGAGGTCAATAAGGTCGTCGGCTGAAATCACTTTTTTTTTTACATTCGCTCGTTCACTCCTTCTTCACGTCCCTGTTGAAAAGAACCAGCAGCTTCTCCTCCTGTTTGTCTCCAAACCCCTGACACCACACATAATCTCAGGTATCCAACCACTGACAAGCACTCACACACAGCCCCTAAAACCGCCCTGTCAGGAGACTGACCAGCTCACGAACACGCAGGCTCACAGACCGACCAGTCAATCACACAGTTTGAAGAACGGTGGACATTAAACGTTTACACACCCGTCCGTGTAACGCAACAACAGCACAGATCAATTGTGATTGGGTTGATGATTTAAATAAAATGACTAAGGGGCGGGGTCTGTTCCTTGTACACTTGCTGAGTTGAATTTTAACTTCACACTTAAATTTGCTCCTGTCGTCTTGTTGCTGGGATGACCTTAAAAGAATTTCTAGCAGAAACACTGAGTCAGTCTAATCTAAAATCTACAGTACAATATAATAGGGATGTGTATTGGCAATAATCTGGCAATACAATAAGTATCACAGTATACAGGGGCGACGATACGATATATTGCGATACAATAGGCACGATGATAAATTGAATTGTTTTTAAAACAAGTTAATTTTAGGCAAACTGTCAACATAGTAAACCCACAATGCTGTTCCATCTGAACGTCAGGTCACTAACACTGGAACAGAGGGATCTACATTTGGAATCACTAAATAAAAGAAAGAATATCGATACAGTATCATTACACAAAATATTGCGATGAGAAAATCTTGATGTTGCGTTACACGAATACGCTGGTTTTCAAACCCGGGTGTGTAAACGGTTCATGTCCACCGTAGGCGACACTCCCTCCACCTGTAACCTGCTACACTTGAATTCGGAGGGATTCGTTTGAGTTCCCTCCTCTAAACTCTGACCACGTTCGGGGGATTTTCTTGGAGCAACCGCCAAGTAGCAATGAAGAGAATACAGTGCTGTCCGTCTGCAGCTGACAGGGAAAGAAAGTCTGCTCCCATCTTACTTCACACACCGTCAGCCAGGTTTACAGATCTGCATGTGTGTGTGTGTGTGTGTGTGTGTTTATATATAGTTTATTTTGTTCTGTGCATTAGCTTTATTTTGTAAAAAAAAACCAAACAAACAAAGGTTTTGTCCACCTCACTGAGGGAAGGAGGGACCGGCAGATCCTGATGAATTCCTGCTCAGCTGATGTTTCGCTTTTTCCTGCCCGAGTATTCACAGTGTCGGGGCGTTGGGAGGGGGAGCTCACTATTCCCACACAAACCACTCCCACCTGTCGCTCTTCAGTGTTGTACTTTTAATGTTTAAAAAGTGGCTCAGTCATGAATTCAGATGATTTGAATAAGCTTCGTGTACATAACCTCGTCTCCGTGGTTTTACTACAGTGTGCAATGTGTGTATTTGTGTGAAACGTCCTCTGACTGCGGAGTCGTCCTCAGTTGCTGACTCTGCCCCTGTCCACTCTCTTCTGTGGGCTAGGAATCTCCAGCTGTCTTTTATTGTCATCAACACTAGGGGGTGCTGCGAGGCCTTCTGTTCAAAAAAACAAAACAAAAAATAAAAGTTTTGGTAAGCGTGTACAGTGGGTGAGTGAGTGTGAGTACTCATGGGAGTACTGCAGAAATGTTTAAAAAAAAAAAACTAGAAACCAGCAGTGGTATTTAAAAACTTGTCATTTTTATCAGTATTGACCAGAGATGCGACAGGACAGTCGTCCATGGTTCGACTTTCATGTTTGATTTTTTTTTTTTTTTTTTTTGTTTTGGTAGTTTTCACAGGAAAGAATTAAGTAGAAAACAAAATATCTCACCTTCGCAAGTTAATTATTTCAGCATTGATTAGCATTCCTGTTATATTGTACGACATAAAATAAACAGTATCATCAGTACTGCTCTACTCTATTAGAGCCCCAGCCCTGACCTTGACACACAGAGGTCAACCTACACTAAAAACCAACAAGGTCAAAAGGTCTCAGTGGCATCACAAAAATCAACCAGCAAATTCAAGTATGTCAAAAAATGTTTATTTCATGTTATCAAAACCTTTGCAAGAACACAGATATTTGTAATCAGTAAAGTGAGGTTGTAGTTTTACTGCAGTAGTCTCACATGTACATGGAACAAATCCGTTCCTTCCTTCTCCCAAACAGCAGTTCAGTTCTCAGTTCAGTCCGTTTCACTCGTCTTCTTCTTCCTGTTCCAACAACAAACCAGAGCAGTGAGATCACCAGGATCATGTGTTGAACCGTGGAGGCTGTATCAACTCTTAACGTCTGTCATTGTTGTGTCCAATGACTCAGTTTTACTTTTTATTATTTTAGGAACATTTTTTTGAATCAACGCAGCCTTTAGTTGGAATGAGAACATCTACAAGTAGACATAGGAACTCTGGATGGAGCTTTTGTTTTGACAGATAAAATGAATCCCTGTCCAGTTTCTTTGAGACCGCAGACATTGGAGCTCTTTCCTCAGGGCAGAGTCGAAAGAAATTTTCCACGTTAATATATGATAAATCCTGTAAATATAAGTGTATAAAAGAGATTTTGATTCATTGGAATTGTATTAAAATAAACACAATCATCCTGTTCTTAAAGCCATTTGATAGTTTTAAACCGTCAACCTCTGAGTAGAGATACCTGACAGAACAGCGTGAGATTACAGCCTGTCTGTGGCAAACACAGTGTATATATATACACATATATTTATATATGTTTATGTAAATATGTGTGTATATATATATTTATATATATGTTTATATATGTATATACATATATGTAAATATATATATATATATACATATATGCAGTATGTTGCGCCATGACAGTGCTTCATAGCTGGGATCCTGAGAGTGTTTGTGGTCTGATAAAGGTACGCAGTGTCAGCTTTGTGTTGCCATAAATTTTCCATCAAAGTGTTTAAAGTTTGTTAATTGACAGCAAGTGTTTTTGCACTATGTAAATATCTAGTACTGGTTAAAGGTCTTGTAAACGAATGTGAACGACAAAAACAAAACAAGGAAAAAAACCGAACCTGTTCAATGAAGTACTTTTTCAGCGTGTTCTTTGTCTTTGTATGGATATTTATGGCCGCCTCCTCCAGACTTTGAATCACTAGCGTTGTTGTTAAAAGGCTGTTTCTCATAATCCCTGTTGTCTCCTTAACTCTTTAACCTGTATGAACAAATGAATAACATCATTAAAATGTTGTTTAAGTAAATGAGTTCATCTTGTCCTTTGGTTTGCCTGCATTTTTATCGGCTTGTCCTAAAAAAGTGTTACATGTTCGCATTTGAATTAGGGCTGTCAACAGATGAAAAGAAATTCAGTTTGAATCACAAATCTAGACGCACCAATTTCTATGAATATGAGCAGAAAAAACATTTTTCAGTATTTTGCAGTAACAGAAAATGAAATAAGAGCAGGTATGGATGAAAAGAAATTTTTCAGTATTTTGCGGTAACAGAAAATGAAATAAGAGCAGGTAGATATACGTGTTTCACACCTTTTTCTGACCTACCCAAATGATGGAATTATTAATTATAAGTATTGTTGTCGGTTCCATAGTGTAGCAGTTAGCACGCCTGCAATTATAATAATAATAATAATATACAGAAGGTCCTTGGTTTGATCCTTGGAAGAAATGGATGCTAAATGGCGCCTCCTGTGGTAGTCTGGGTGCGTTACAAAGACTCACATTGAATGAATCCCATTGTGGTTCCATTTAGGGACTTCAGCACTAGTCATAGTCCACAGTCAGTGGTGTTACTGAAGAGACTCAATGATTTGAGTGGGTGTGTGTGTGTGTGTGTAGCTATACTAGTGTGGACAGTGTCTTGGAAAAATACTACTGTTCTGTACTGTACCTTTCTAGGTCTGCTCAGTGAGAGGGTATTTTTTGGAAAAATACTACTGTTCTGTACTGTACCTTTTTAGGTCTGCTCAGTGAGAGGGTATTTTAAAGGTGAAATATTTACTTTTGATGCCAGGATTAGAATTTCAGGTCAAATTTGACTTAGGTTAAAACAAAAGGATTAGGAATAAATTTGCCAAAATAAGGGGTGGGATAAAAATGAATTATGCCCATGTGAAGTTCTCAAAAATCACAAAAACCAGTGTGTGTGTGTGTGTGTGTGCAGCATGGGTCACCCTATCCTCGTGTGATTGGATGCTTCTGTGTGGGTGAGGGAGGGGGAGAGAGAGAGGGAGTAAGAGGCTGTCTGTGAATCTATCTGCCGCTCCATTCACACATTCAGCTGCTGCACCTTCATAGACAGGCAGGCAGAGGGAGTGAGCGAGAGCCTTCCATTCATTAATAATAAAAAAAAAAGAGAGAGAGAGTAGGTTCATTCATAAAAAGCTGCGTTGAGTCTGTGACTCCCGGAGGTAAAGACTCGGAGCTGAGGTGAAACTGACAGAAAAAGTGAGCAGACGCTTGAAGCTGTTCGTTCCCAGCATGACCAGAGCAGAGCAGACTGGACTTTAGTGACACAGGACGTCCGCAGTCCCACGCTGGTGAGTTCAATCTGGTTATTTACATCTTTGTAGTTAAAATGTTCTATTTTTTCAGATTGATTTTTTTTTTTTTTTACTGTGAGCATTAACTGGGTTGAAGGTAACGGTGAGGTCCAGGTCACAGACGGGACTCTCCAAGACAAGTTTAAAGAAAATCCCTGTCTTTCTGCTGCAGGCATGATCAAACGAACCAAATACAGTCGCCTGCACAACGATTCACCAACATCCCCGGAGGATCAGCCTCCAACCATGTCTCCTCAGAAGAGGGAACTGGACCAGGACTCTGAGACGGCTCGCGTCAGTGACGGGACATCGTGTCACCACGGGCCGTCCTTGAGAGACTTCTTTCCTTGTGTGGCCAAAATCCGACTGCACAGTCCTGTGGCGTGCCTTAAAGGACAAAGAGACGCAGCAAAAGACACAACGACCACTTTTTATGGAGACAACAGCAAATTACAACATGGTCAGAGACTCTGCGGCCAGAGTCCTCCTCATGTTCCTTTGTGTACAGGTAGGAACAAAACAAAAAGAGCCATCACTCTGCACCGGATGGTCAGCCTTCCCAGGATTCCTAGCTTTGCGTCCTGCTCAAACACCAGAGGAGGTCAGTGCAGTTTGAAGAACTCCTGTGCAGCAGATGACGGTGCAAACACGGCAGTGCACTATGACATTAAGGTAATGGTCGACACAGGTTTACTGATGTTGGTATTACAGTACAGGGTCGTGCATGTGGTACCCAGCTGACGTAGACTAGAAGAGGAATCGGCTGAGAACCTTTAATCCAGTCCACTAATGTGCAATACCACAGAGAAAACTCTGGGGGCAGAGTGTTAAAGCGTTCGCTCTTGTCGTGCTCAAAACGTCATTACAAGTCCTGTGCAACATAAGACAGATTTAACTAATCGACATAACTGGGCGTTTTTCTTTTTACCAATCCAAAAAGTGTCTCCACCACTAATTTTTCTTAACCAATCCAAAAAGTGTCTCCACCACTAGTACACTTTTTAAAAACACTGTCCTGATAAGTATAGCTGTGTCAGAAAAAAACACACACACACATTTACACACATTTGTGTCCTCTTCCTATGCTAACTTCACACCATCATCACTTCCACACTCACCCTCCCGCTCAGACAGAGCTTCCTGTGTAGGCAGCAGTGAGTCATCCTGGCTTTTTGCTCCTCTTTACTCTGTGTGTGTGTGTGCGCGCGCGCGTGTGTGTGTGTGTGTGTATCCGGTATCAGTGGAGCTCATGTTGTCCTTTAACCGGAGGTGTGTCCGCATGGGTGATCAGGGTAAGCTGATGGAAATGAGTCTGGACACTGTGATTGTCCTCTTTAAACAAGCACATATGTACACTCTGCTGCCCACTCTCTCACTCTCTCCCTCTCCCTCTCTCACTCTCCCTCTCTCACTCTCACTCTCCCTCGTTCACTCTCACTCACTCTCCCTCTCTCACTCTCACACTCCCTCGTTCACTCTCACTCTCCCTCGTTCACTCTACCTGTGCATTGATTTAGCTTCTAGCTTCTATCAATGAACGAACTCGTGCCGTTTCCAGGTTCAAGTCTCTGCTGCTGGGGTTCATGGAGCAGAGGTCACAGCGTCTTAATGACCCCCCGACCCCTGCCGCCCCCCCACCACCATCACCCTTTGACATCAGCATATTGTTTCTGTCCTTGAGAAGCTGTGCATTAGTCTTGTCTCGTCCTCTTTTACTTATTTATTAACTCTATTTGTTTTTTATGTTCTGTGTGTGTGAAGTACTTGGGCAGTGTGGAGGTGATCCAGTCCATGAGAAACCTTGACTCTGACACAAGGATGCAGGTCACACGGTAGGATGTTCGAAAAGTTCCACAAACTGTGATTGAAAAACAGCTATTAGTAAAATTCACATTAAAGAAAAACAATGTATTATTCTTTATTTGCTCTGGACAAGTTAGCTGAGTTATCATTTCATTAATATTATAAAATGATGTAAAAAAAAACATGAATTAAAATAAAAAATAAAAATTATTATTATAATATCTGTTACCCAGGAGTCAAAATACTTTTAAACTCAAAAACAGTAGTTTAACTCAACCTTTTAATATCAAGGCTAAATAATTGTGTCATCTGCATACAAACGTAGAATTTCACCCCATGTTAATTGATA